TTCATTCTTCCACAGTAAAAGATATGTGCATCGGTGAAAGTTCAACTCGTAGAGGAGATGATGACGCCCCCTTTAAAGTTGGTGATTTATTCGAGACTAAAGACCAATTGGTTGATGCTATTCGTGAATACTCTTTCGAAAAGAATTTCAAGTTCAAGCAAGTTAAAAGCAATCGCACAAGTTATGATGCAATATGTTTTATGAACACACAAAGAACAGGTCTGACCGAGGGAAATGAAGCTGATTACTCATGTCCTTGGAAGTTATATGCATTTGCAGGAAAGAAACACAATTTTCAATTTAGGATCAGTGAATACTGCGGTGTTCACACATGTGTCAATCCAATATTAGAGCAAGATCACAGTGGTGCATCTGCCTCTTACATAGCGCGGTTGATTATGCCAAAATTAAGGAAGAAGCTTGATCTAACGCCCGATAATATAATTGAGAAAGTGCTTGATACCAAGTTCATTAAAATCTCGTATATTAAAGCATGGAATGCAAGAAGAATTGCGATGACAAAAATATTTGGTGATTGGGACAAGTCTTACGCGACACTAGCTTTATATCTTGATGCGATCAAAAGAAGTAATCCTGGATCTGAATACAAACTCATAACCAAAGAGATCGATCCGGGAGTTCATCAATTCACCTCTGTTTTTTGGGTATTTGGGCCTTCGATTGAGGGGTTTAAATTTTGTCGGCCTATTCTTAGCATTGATGGCACACACTTATACGGTAAATACAAGGGTGTACTGCTTGTTGCTACAGGAGTTGATGCAGATGGTGGCTTATTTCCTTTGGCCTTCGCCGTTGTGGAGGTCGAGAACAGTGAAAATTGGGAGTGGTTTTTTTCTTGCATTCAATTATATATTTTTAATGTGTTGCCTCCTAGAAAAATTACTTTCATATCTGATAGGATGAAAGGTATTCCAAAAGCATTGTGGAGGAGATTTGGCTCTCATCACCATCATCGCTATTGCTTACGACACATTAGAGCTAACTTCAAAAAGAGCTTTAGTCAGATTCATTTACAAAACCTTCTGTGGCAAGCGGGTTGTACGCCGGAAACATATGTGTATGATCGGATACGGGATCAAATCAAGGCAACATCTCAAGCTGCACATGATTGGATTGAGAGAAGTCTGGGCAGTGATTACGTCGACCGGTGGGCACTCAGTAAAGATGGAGGGAATCGGTTCTGCATGATGACAACCAATTGTTCTGAAAGCTTCAACGGGGTACTTAAGGGGGCTCGGGCAATGCCCATACAAGCGTTGGTTGCGAGGACATTTTATAGGCTCAATTACTATTTTGTCAAGCGGCGAGAGGATAGAGCAATGTGGGCCTCGTTCTTGACACCAAAAAATGAGGCGATTTTAGGAGCTCGAGTTAAGCAGGCGAGAGGCACGAAGATTGTTAGATTTGCTGTAGATGAATGGGAGGTTACAGACAAACATGGTCACAATTACACCGTCAATTTGGGAGGTGCACATTGCACATGCACCTGTAACATACCAGAATTGCAAAAATTGCCTTGTTCACATGTCATAGCGGTTACGTCCAAGCAATCGGGGGGTGTAAATATTTCGTATTACACATACGCTTCTGAGTGGTATCAATCAAGCAACTATAGAGAGGCATATAAGCTGTGTTTCCACCCCGTACATGATAGTCGTTATTGGCCACACTATAACGGACCGCATGTGGTGCCTCCAAGATCTCATTGCCCGACCAATCCAAGTAGATAGCAATTAATGGGTACAATTTTATACATTTGTAATTTCATTCTAACTCATTTATAGATCAATGCTTATAAAAAACTCAAACAATGCTTATAAATCAATGCTTATAGTAAAATCAATTTTTTTCTAACTCAATTATAGATCAATTAATGTATCATCGTTATATGTGCAGATATTTCAGTTATGGAGGCGGGTCCATTGACACATGATGTTCTTTATGACCAAGAGCGCCACCGATCCGCAAAGATAGACGCTGGGGAGGTAAAGTGCAGTTTTATTATTTTCAATTATATATAAATTTTAATGTAGTTGATTGTTACTGAACATTTGCACTGTTTACTACATGCAGGCCCCGAGTATTACTGTTGTCGATCATACCCGTGCACACTCTAGCTGGGAGTTGACGGATCCACAGATACAATATTATGTGCGTCAAGCCGGCTTTTTTGAGTGTTCACAACTTAAATGGGTAAGACTTGATTGGGCACTTTTGACGACATTAGTTGAACAGTGGAGGCCCGAGACAAATACTTTCCACCTGCGCCAAGGAGAGGCGACGATTACCTTGCAGGATGTTGGGGTTATACTTGGCCTCAGAGTAGATGGTGATGCAGTGACGGGCACCGATGACTTCCACTATGGAACTACGTGTGAAGAATTGTTGGGTCACTGTCCTACAATGAAGGGGGGAAAGATCAAACTCGAATGGTTAAGGAATAACTTTATGAATATACCAATCGATGCGACTGATGAGATCATTAAGAGCTATGCCCGTGCATATATTTTACATATGATCGGTACTATTCTGTTTCCGGATTCCACTAAGGATTCCGTGCACGTGAGATGGTTACCGCTTCTTAGGGACCTATCGGAGTGTGGCGAGTTATCTTGGGGAGTGCAGTGTTAGCCTATTTGTATAAGGAGATGACAAAAATAGCACTCGTACAAAACAAAGAATTGAAGGGCTGCCTCACTTTGCTACAGATATGGTCATGGGAGCGATTGCATTTGGGAACACCTGATTTGAGGGAGGCCCGCGCTCTCGATGGTCATATTCCTTTAGGCTGCAGGTATTATTAAGATGCATGTAACGTTAGTGTTTTATTTCAATATATACTAACACGTTGTATATAAAATAGATGTAATGTGTCCAGATCCTGGCAAACCTCTCCAAAGGGGCATGAAAACTTTTACAGAAACGAGCTTGATCAGATGGAGGATGAGCAGGTATAAAAATTTTAATATCTAAATATATTCAATTATGCGACCAATTGTTATCGATATCTAAATATATTCAATCAATATATCATAATATCTTATATCATAATACCTTCTTTATAGGTCAAATGGATGCCCTACGAGCTAGTGTTGGAGTCACTACCGGATATTTGCTGGGAAGGTGAGGATGTATGGCGTGCTCGCATCCCACTAATATGCTTTGAGATTGTCGAAATGCACGTGCTTGACCGTGTGCTTCAACAATTTGGACTACGGCAACATATTCCAAGGCCTGTGGAGAGAATAGAGAGAGCTTGGATAAAAGGTGCACATCGTGCTAATTGGGAAATAATTCGCCAAAATTACATCGGGAGGTGGGATTTAAGGGAGGAACAGGTAGTGATGGAGAGGGCTGATGCACCTAACCTAGGTGTGTACCTGCGGTGGTATTGGGGGATTACTCGCCGGTGGATATTTCAGGAAAACAAAGCCCCGAAGGAGTACATACCAAGAGGCCCAGTCGAGAGAGAGTTGGTAAGTGTATAAGAATAATATACAATTATTTTCTAAGTTTTATTTTCTCACCATCCACTTGATACTAATTTTCTTTCGGTTTTTATTTTATAGGTACAAGAGCTCGAAGAGCTTTCCGGAATGGCATATGGCGCATTGCGCACGACTACTGAGCAGGCGCCGAGGAACACGTTCCTTCGAATGATAAAAAAGATACGGTCGGCTCTTCAGAGGACGCGTAATGCAAGCCGCGATGGACGGGAGGAGCGACCAATTGAGTACGGTCGGCGACGTCGACGAGGACACACGGGGGCGGGATCAAGCCGTGCACATGATGATGAAGCTGGCGGATCACAGGCCGGATGTTCACAGGCGGATCGAGTCGACGCGGATGTCGTGCGCTCCCAACTTCACACACAACCGGACGAGGAACTTATCCGAGCTCACGTCGAAGGTGAACGGGGGGGAGAGGAAGAAGAGGGAGAGGGAGAGGGAGGGGAAAGGGCGTTGTTGATATTTGTTAAGTTTCGATGGACTTGATAGGATGTTTGTGTTTGAGTTGCAATTTGGACTTGATATGTTGTTTGTGTTGCGATGGATTTGATATAATGTTAAGTTTGCGAATATAAATTGTACGTATGATATTTATGTTTGTGATTGCATTGTGGATTGATAACAGGAGTATGATTGTATTTTAGCATGTGTTATTTGTGATTATATTTTGTACTACAGGAAGTATGAGTTTCCATGTGAATGTGGGCTGGAAGGGGTCTGCAAAATGGCCGGGGTTGAGAACCCCGACCATTTTATGCACCAATACTGCCTGCGTGTTTGGGCTCTGCTTAATGGTCGGGGTTGGGAACCCCGACCAATTTGAGATGGGCTCTGAATTGGTCGGGGTTCCCAACCCCGACCAATTCGTGCACTGGTTAAAACCAGCGGGGCTGAGCTCTGCCAATTGGTCGGGGTTGGGAACCCCGACCAATTCGAAATACGACCATTTCGAATTGGTCAGGGTTTCCAACCCCGACCATTTAGTTAAGCTGTTAGCAGGCGATCGACTAAACAGTCGGGGTTGCCAACCCCGACAGTTTACGAAGCCGATTAAAAAATAATCGACCCGCTTTCTCGCCACGACGCTGACGTGGCGAGAAAACGGGTCGATTTTAGTAAATAAAATGAGATACAGTCGATTTTGATAATAAAAATTTAAAATCGGGCTACAGTGAAAATTTGTTCTATTTTGAAAATACAGGAACTTACTTTTAACTTCTACAAACAGCTCGTCTTATCAAATTTAAACAGTAAATATTCCACACACTCCATGACGATAATATATTTGTCAACAACATAAGCCCATTGGAATAATTAAAACACAAATCATTCTCAGTTTTCATTGAAACGCAAAAGACAGAAACAGTATAGAATACCCGTCAGGGTCCAATTTTCTTAATAAAGAAATCGAAGCACAAAACAACTTTATTGGTAGTTTGTATCATAGGAAAAGAGCTAATTAATATTTACCTTCCAAAGGCCATCATTTAGATAGTGCATGGTATCAACACCAATCCCCTTGTTGATAGCTTTTCTGCAAATAATGAAAAAAAAATTTATGTGGTGTCAAAATATAAAAGCCAAACAGTGCAAATAGAAACTACTTCTCAGGCAACTACAGCTTGAAACATGCAGTGAGCCCACCAGAAAGACTATACTCCAATGAAAAATAAAGGTTTGGCAAAAAGGCCGAAGTTCACTGATTGTTATAGGTCACCAGCAGTCTTTGTATTAACAAATGTAACTAGAATAGAATGCAACATGAATAGTTTTGAATCCATATCACATAAACCATCCATTAAAAGAGGTCTGGATCAATTTATTGCTGCCTATAATCCCTTCCTCCTTTTCTTTCTCGTTAATTCTCTGCTATCTACAAGACCACAAAGGATGTATTTATTATCAATACAGCCAAAAAGGCTGAGGTATGTATGAAATGATATAGGTACCATAGAGTTATATGCCACAAACAAATTGAGATGTCATCCCATGGAATTGTCGATGCCAAGAGAGATGGTATTGACTCAGTTTTGGCAATTATTCCATGATAAATCTCCTCCATTGCAGACATCATCTCTGTTGCTCTTCTCCAGTTTGTCCTTTCACCTAGTTATATTGAGATAAACAACATTGTTGCACTCAATCCCACATTGTGTGCTAAATGGTTGCAGAAAATGCAACAAAGGAGGCTGTAGCTAGCAGTAGTAAACAATAATGCTAAGTTTTTTATTCTTCCCTTGCTTCCCTCATGTTGTAGCTCAAAGGTTAACATTTTGAGATCAGGAAAAAAGCCTCTGGATGTGAACACTTTTAGTTTTTGCTGGCATGCGAAAGGGATTCCTTAGCATGGAGCCTCTTCAGGTGTGTCCAATACATGTCACTCAAACATCCACCTGTGGCCTAAATCTATAGGAAACCGTAAGCTACATAAAGATTCTGTTGGTTTCGGATTCTAGAAATCTGTTTCCCAGCAAGTGCTTTCTGAGATCCAATTGTATGAACAGAGATGAGGATAAAGCACAACAATTTCTGAATTTTTCATTTTAACAGACAAACAAACCAAATATTTCTATACAGAATACTTACAGCAATCTCTTATAGACATCACATGTTAATTCATTTTCAATCTCTGATGTCAGAGAATTTCTTGTACCAATTTTACAAGAGCAACAGACCTTCAGTAATTTGCTTAATCTCAGTCTCTGGCAACTAACTAGTCAAATCATTTTTAAAAAAAAAGTAGAAATATGACAATAAAAGGCAGGATCCATAATCAAAGTCGCACAGTTCTATAAGAAAGTGTTGACAATAGTTACTGTACAAAAAAAGTATATAGGCCAAATGACAAGAGGCAAATATTCTCATGTAATAAGGAAATAAAGTAGCCAACAAATATTTGATAATTCCCGAGAGAAACCTACATGTCTTTTGCTGACATTTTTGTGAACCCGATTGCCAGAGCATGTTGCTTTCCTTCAGCCATTATTGCCTGAAATTCATAGGCTGTACAAATCAGTCTTTTATCAACTTTAAACATAGGAAACAGACAGCCAAGATGAAGTTCAAGGCGCACATTTATATTTATGTAACATGTATGCGTATTTGTACATAACAATGATGAGATAGCTGGCTTCCAAAAGTAAATATTCACCTAACAGGAACATACATCAATTTGTCCAACAATAATGACACAGACTTCTTTGGTCAGAGAAAATTTACGCGATGACAGTTGAACAAGGGAACACATAAACTAAAATAATTAGGTATAGGAAAATCACAGTAAAATATTAAATATTATTTGAAAAGCATTGAAGCCATGTACTACCCCACAGCACAGTAGCATCACAAGACTACCGTCTGGGACATCCAACATGACCTCCCATTCATGGCTTCTTAAAGTTACAAGCATTTGGATTTTCCATATGCTTCTACATCCTACCGAGTAGAAATAGAAGTTCAAGTTAACAATTCATTAATTTGAAAGAGTGACGTCGTACCACTGGGGATTCCTCGAGAACCTCGTCATCCAAAGCACCACCAGGGGATGTAAGACCAGGACACATTATGTTTGCACCAGAAAGGACAAATTTGATCGCACCTCTATCAACTTGTAACTTCTTCATTATTTCTGGGTCTGAAAAAAGGGTGAGGGAAAAATAATCAAATCACCATCTGTTGTAGGAGTGCCAATGCTGCTTTAGGCCAGAGGATAGAAAAACATGAATAATGAAATTGGTGCTAAGAACATCAAAGGTGAAAAGGAAACGTGAATGCATTGATCCTTCAATATTCCTAGGTCACACCTTCACAATATCCTCGCAGCATGTGATATAGTTCATTGAGATTACAACACTACAACAAAGATAAAACTCCTAAACAATAATGAACAAAGTGAAGAGTTCAAAGAGATAATACTTTACATTGATGAAGGAGCCTCAGTGTCGGCATGTAAGGGCCATCACGAATATTGAAAAATAGAGGCACATTGTTCACCACAACAAGATTCAAGTGATTTTGACTAGGGAAAAAAAACAATCGTTACAACGTTAGGAAACATTTTTTAACAGTCTATCATTCAAATATAAAAGCTACATGTGGTCAAAAGTAGGAATGCTCGACTGCACACAGTCATGCTGCTGAATTGGTGCAGATCCATGACAGTTAAAAGGACAACGCATTGGTCGGAACCAACAAACTAAAACATGTATAGTTGTCAGTCAAAATTGTAAAGGAAAATGTTCATTAATTATAAGATGCGTAAACCCACCGGCTCCCCTAGTAGGGAGATAATTCCACAAAGCATGTCTGCAGACCGTCTTAAACCTATGACCTTTCTTCTTGCACAAACATCCCAAGAAAAAGTTGATGAAACTATTTCGGGACAATCTGCTTTTGTTGTAGACTCATAAATGAGCACTGAACAATTTTTTAGAAATTTTAAATGGTATTGAACAGTTCCATCACAACCATGTAACGTGATATATGTTTAAACTAAAACGCTACCAAGGTTTATGGAGATTAACAATTGGTTGAATTGATATTCAGCGACAAAGGCTATGACTGGTAACTTGCAGCGTAGATAATTCTATTGTGCGGACTGATTATCAAAAATATCATTTTAGACCATGTGAATGGCTCGTGATGCACAGTCATCTGGATCTACTTATTCAGAGATATTGCAGGGTGATGCTAAGGTTGTCCTACAAAAATAACATATGAATATTGAAAGTCATCCACGTGCCAACAATCTCTTAGTATTTTCTCTACTGAGTTTATAATGACAAATGGATACTCCATGCCTCCCCTTCTTATACATTCATACTTAATTATTGAAGGACCAACATGATAGTATTTCAGCTATAACCAACATGGAAGTGCTTCAGTGTCAATCCTGGAGGATGCAAAAAATATATATGTGATAAAGATCTGGCCTACCATTTTGCAACAATGAGAGGTGATTTCTTTGGAAGCAGGTCATCCATAAGAGGCTCAAGGCCAGGATACTGACATAATAATCAAAAACTAATTAGAAAAAACACAATGTTAAAATCAAAGTCACATATTTCTTTATTTTCTAAACTGAGAAAAGAAAACAATCAACACTATATGGAATGGTAACCTCATCTGTGATGCTTTGACGTATCTTCCTCTGTACAGATGCTTTCACTTGGTTTTGTGCAGATATATCTTCATAAGTAAATCTGGAAAACAAACAGAAATGTTGATTAACAATGTTCCAATTCCACACAGGAAAAAAAATCATGGTCTTCAGTCAATGTTCCTATTGTGTCCCTAGGCCAGACCTATGATTTTTTGGGTAATTCCCCAACAAACGATTGAGATGTTATTAGTCCCAGAGGTTTTACCAAACAACCACTAAACTGGCTCTTAAAAGCATTTCAATGTGTAGTTATGATGTAATATGTATAATTTCGGAGTAAATCAAATGAGATAACTATATATCTGATCCACTACACAAAAAGTCAAATACAATCCACTGAAAACACTACAGGGTTGTTTAATTCAGTAAAAATTGTAACTGCGGGTGCAATCTGCAAAAACAAATATGTAATTGGAATTGAAGCTCTTGGGTTTGCTACAAACACGAGCTTTTTGCATCTGCAGTTGCAAAAATTAGTCATTTAAAAAAGGACATGGACTCAATTCAGCTGTACGCCTTTCGTGTAAAAACTAATCTTCAAGAGTAGTAAAACAAGCCTGACGAGGAACGGATTCTGATTGAATTTGAATTTTTTTTTTAAAAACATCGTTGGAAAATGGATCTGAGGGTCGGCGGAAGATGAATGAACAATATCGTGAATATACAGGGTGAACAGTACTTTTTCATTAAAAAAAGAAACTAAGATAAAAAAAAGATGAATTAAAACAGAATCACAGCATCTAACCTATGGATAAATAACTTCACACCTTGAAGAATCACTCCAAAATTCTCACATAAGCATAATTTTATTCATCAATCAATATCCTTCCTCATGGAGGATACAACTTATTTATAGAATGAACTTAACAATAAAGATAACATCAAATCACCTAAATCTTATCTAATAAAATTAAAAATATTATCCTAACCAAATATATAGCAGAAAACATTTATAAAGATAAACTCTCAAACTACAAATCCATATCAACTAAAATAAAATTTCCTATATAAAATCCAAATTAAATTACCACATAGAATCAACCCGCTCTTAATTTGTCTCGCACCAAATCTCCCCTTGTTAGAGGAAACATGACCTTGAGTTTTATAAAAGGAGTATAAAAATTTCCTTCAATCAGTGGGTAGTATTGTTGTAAGCACTGCAGGATATTTAAAATTATTTGCATAATTTGATAATGTATAGGTGGCGGAGGTTTTAGAATGACACGCTCTATTATCAAATTACTATAGAGTGAAAGTATCTCAAACAACATTTCAACTTGGATTCGGGGTTTGGGTTTGATTCAAGCTCGGCCTCTAGGTCAACCTTATGCTCAATCTTTGATTCGGACTCGAGTTCAAGTTCATGCTCTAAATATATCTTTTCATTTTCTTCTCCTTCTAGATCTTGCCCAGATTCGAGCACTGGATCGGCTTCATGATGTGGTTCTAGCTCCAAATCTAGTTCAGGTCCACTTCTGGTCTTGGTGTCAGCTCCGATTTTCACTCTGGATTTGACTTGGGTTCATATTGTAGATCAACATCTGATCGGGTCTAGGACACTTTTGTCTTGGGCTTTGAAGAAAAATAGTAATGTTTTCAATTGGATAACTAGAATATCTTCTTTAAAGTAGAAAGTTCATATGTGCCCACGAACGTATATATGACCAAGGACTAGAATAATAGTGAAACCACCAATCCTGAGTTTCTCCTTTTAACCTACACTTAGCATGCATATACATCTCTCAATCCGATAAATCATAAATAGTAAATAAATCTTCTAAGTCTTGCATCCAAAACTCAAAATCATATCTTTCTTCATATCCATCAAATCCATAAAAATAAGGCACATTGTCGAATTTTAAAGGACTAAATTCAAATTGTTGTGATGGAGGAAGTGGACATTTACCAATGGTTATTGTGGAGCGTTGAGCTTGATCCGATACCAATTGACAGGGAATGGATTCTGATTGAATTTGAAACTAAAAAAAGTAAAAAACGCCATTGGAAAATGGATATAATGGACGGCGGGAGATGAATGAATACCACTAGGTGAACAGTAAGCCTTTTTTATAAAAAGTAAGATTAAAAAAAGATAAATTAGGATAGACCGGATTCACTCACAGCATCTACCCTGTGGATAAATGGCTTCACACCTTGAGGAATCACTCCAGATTCTCACATAACTATAATTTTATTCATCAACCAATGTTTCGTGGAGGATACACTTATTATAGAATAAATTTAACAATAAAGATAACATCAAATCAGCTAAATCTTATCTAATAAAACAAAAAATATTATCCTAACCAAATATCTAACTAAAATATTATCTATATAGATAAACTCTCAAACTGCAAATCCTATCAACTAAAATAAAATCTCCTAACTAAATTTCAAACTAAATTACCAAATAAAATCTAACTCAATCTTAACTTGTTTTGCATCAGTGGCGACTGTAAATACAACTATCTTTTGGAAGTTACAATGGAGGTAACAATTTCAATTTCCACTAACCAAACATCCGTATAAACTTTTGCGGCCATGTTGCAAACATCACTATCAATTAGCTGTTTGTCAACAAGGGATCAAGAAAATGGCACATAAATTCAAAAGAAACTACAAAAACTCTAAAGAGAAACGGATTGTTAAAGAAAATGTTTTTAACCTATATACACCCGAAATGAACCATATTTGCAAAATTTTCCCTTCGAATCTACATACATATCACCTCATCCCCAAATTCTACCGCATTGAATTAAAATACCCCAAACCTAATGAGATTGGTTTCTGATGGTATAAGGCAAAATTTCCAACTAAACAACTAACAGAAAATTTAAATGCATCCATCGTAACTTTTTGGTTATTTGACTAAATGTGGTAGAAATGGAGGGTTAAGCAAATATCAAGATTTGGGAGTAAATCTTCAAATATGGTTGATTTGGGGGTACATAGGTAAGAAGAAACCTATTCCAAGTGTGTGTTTGGCAACTCCACAAAACTAGTTTTAGTGGGTGCAATCTTCGTCCAAAAGCTATCTTTTAGTTCGGTAATATTTGGACCAAAAATGAACTTGTTTTCTTTAGTTCAAATTCTAGCCTCTAAACTAATTCCCTTTTGGACCGACACCTATGTGGACCAACTCTAGCCTAGTTAAACTAAAACTAGTACAAAACCAACCTAATTTTGGAATTGCCAAACACCACCTAATAGTAAACACGAATCCTTCTAAAAAAATCCTTCAAATGCTAACGCTTATACTATTAAAGGAATGTTTACAGAAAATTCCTCGTTTTTCTGTTAGTTGTTGAGCTGGAATCTTCCTTCCACCATTCAAATACTAACCACGACCGATTTGGGATATTTTTTAACTCGATGTGGTAGAATTGAAGGGATAAGCAAACATCCATGTTGGGGGGAAATTTTGCAAATATGGTTGATTTGGGGGTACACAAGTAAAAAACAAACCCTACTAAGAACACTTCTTACATTCTTTCAACTCTTTCCTGCAATGCCCCCATTCACAAAAGTGAAACCCTAGGTTTAAAACCTCTATATATTCTACTAATAAATACTAATCCTGCTAGAAAAAAATTCCTTAAATTCTTCAAGAATTCAGGTCATAAAACATAACAGGGAGTAACCCTAGGACTATGCATTTGGGTTCAAATTTTCAAGGAGTACTTAGTATTCGCTACATAATACAATCCGGAACAGATAAAGAACGAAACTTTTTCGAAGAAAAAACATAAATTGTGCAATAAATTGATAGAAAAACTCACTTCTTGAACATCTCGCTCGATTCAACAGTTGCAGAGAGAGCGAAGAAAGGTCTCCGCTTTAATTCTCGAGTCCTGGCCGATGTTAATGGGCCACTATGGGCTTTACGTTTCTTTGCTCTGCCCAAGTCGGAAATCTTTTCAGATTGCCTCATGGGCCTCATTGCACCGGCTTTAAGGTTTTTATGATATTAGTCCTCAACCTATTTGCTATTTTGACGTTATAGTTCCTCAAATCTTCATATTTTGAAATCTGTCCCTCGAATCCTTAAAGTGCTTTAAAATTAGTCCTTTTGCTACACTTATCATTCAAAATTTTAGCCACGGTTGGGTCGGTGGCTATCCATAGACATATAGGCCCCATTTGGCAAAAGGTTAAGGAAGAGATGTTAAAAAGAATGATTAATGTACTTAGCACATTCAATTATCTGAAGGACTAAATTATTAACATGTTAAATAAGTTTTATTTTAGTCCTTGTGATCAGTTTTACTGTTTGGGAATAACAATAATTTTGAATATTTTTTTATAATTAGAAGAGTTAACTCTTAATCTTTCTAAATAGAAGTATTAGTAAACCCCTCATTTTGAGGGGTTAACTCATTTTAATCCCTCTAGAGGGGTTAGCTTAACAAATCTATATTTTTTATGTTTGACAAATTATGGAAGGTCAACTCACTTTAACCCTTGTATAGATTTTTTGTGCTTGGCGGGTTAAGAAGGGGTTAAGTCTTCTTAACCCCTCACTTAACCCTTTGCCAAACGGTATCATAGGTACTAAATCATAGTCATTAAATATCACCATAGGTACTAAATCATAGTCATTAAATATCTCTTGTTAGCTGTAATTTCCATCTTTGTGTCTAGTTTCGTACTTCAACTTCTTTGAAAGGGGAAATTTTTTTTGAGGGGCACTACAGGCACACCATCAACCACATCATCAACCACACCTCCTCTCCTGCTACAATGCAGCGGGCCCCATATGAATTTTTTTAATAAATTTCATATGGGGCCCACTGCACTGTAGCAGAAGAGGAGGTGTGGTTGATGGTGTGCCTGTATTATTTTTTTTTTTCTCTCTCCAAAATCAACACCCGAATCAACTAAATAGGTCTAAATTAAACAATTCTGGATTTGGGTTTAAAAAACTAGTCTAGATTCAAGTTTAAATGCGTAAGGGCATAACTAATAATACATCAACAGTGTTAAAGAGGACAATATCTCAACTTTAACCAAACTTCTTAAAAAAAAGACTTGGGGTGCTGATTTCAAAACATGAAATTTTGCGAGGCCAACTCAAAATATGATTTAAACTGATTAATATGGGGAAAAACCCCTTTCTTTTTTAGGGCATAGCAATTATACAAATGACTATCACCACTTTATAAGAAATTTAAGTTTTAAAAGATTTAAGCTATTAGGAAGTGTCTGGTCATATCATACAAAAGCTCGCCATTATGTAGAGAGTTATATTCATTATGTATGGTAAGGGCCTTGTCAAGAAAGTGAGTAGAATAAGGGGTTGTTTGGTTGATTTCCTAAAAATCAAGAAAAGGAAAAGGGTATATGAAAATCAATAAAATATTATTTTCATCCATTTTCATCCTTAAAACTCACCACAAAATCCAATAAAATATTATTTTCATCCCAGAGCCACAACTCATCTCATATCATCTCCTAAAAATAAACCAAACACAAGAAATGTGTCACATCATCCAACTCATCTCATCTCCATCACATCTCATCTTTTAAAAAACACTCACATCATCCAATAATATTGTGACAACTCATCTCATCTCATTAACATTTCATTTCCACCCATTTTTTTTCAAAAAAAACTCAGAAATCGATTTCCTTAAGTATGGATCACATCATCCAATAATATAATGACAGCTCATCTCATCTCATCTATTTTCTTATTTTATGAATGAACCAAACACAAGAAAAAAACCTATTACATGAAATATGTTTCTTATAATTTATTTCCTTCTTTTTTTAGCCAACCAAATAACCTCAAAACAAATTTTCTTAAAAAATCACCCACATCATTCAATAACAATGTGTTAACTCATCTCTCATTCTTTGATTTCCTTTTCTTTTAGCCAACCAAACAATCTCAAAACAAATTTTCTTAGAAATAGATTTACTATTCTTTGATTTCCCTCTTTTTTTAGGCAAACAAACATGCCCTAAAAGGAAAAAAGAGTTGAAACAACAATTTATGTTTCTTTCTCATAACAATGAAAGTGAAAACCTCGAAATTCGTCAAGGTATGAAGATATAACCCAGAATCTACAATTTACAAATTAATGTAAAAGACGGATTTTTATTAATAAAAAACACCGCCTCTAGGGCTTGCAATCATGTGTTTAACTAGAAAAAACAAAGTGGAGTTCTACTAGAACTAAAAATACCAGAAATAGAAGATATTCAAACTATGCTAACAAGGTTATCTATGACTGAGAAAATTAATTGGTCAAACATGAGATTTAAACATGATTACTTTCCTAATCTAAGCAAACTATCCTTAACAAAAATAGCAAAAACCCAACAAAAAATTCGATATTTCCGAATCCAAAGGGAATTTCGCAAAATGAATAGTGACAAATTGAGCTTGGGCTGGTTTCGTTGACTCTGACTCGAAAAAATATTTGACTTTCATATATCATTTATCCGATTCTCACCAATAGTTTGGAAGAAACGATCCATTCTTCATCGCAATCAAAATCTTTATTCGACCCTTTGATTAGACATTTACCAGTGTATCTTCTCCATGAATGCATTTGCAATACGTTCTACTTCTATATCACCATCACAAACCGTAAAGGGGGTTTTCAGATATGGTTCCCCAAATATCATCTATTTAAATGCAAGTCTTCCAAATTTATATGGGTTTTTTATTTCTAGCCCCAAATGTTTACTCATCTTTATCTATAAACCCAATCACTATTTGTTGTATTCATAAACCCAAATATCTTTTTGTATTTATCTTTAAGCCCAACTTACAAAATACAATACTTGTATGTGTGGGCCCCCCAAAATCTTTAAGTTGGGCTTAAAGATAAATACAAAAAGATGTTTAGGTTTATGGATACAACAAATAGTGATTGGGTTTAAAGGTAAAGATGAGTAAACATTTGGGGCTAGAAATAAAAAGCCCTTATTATATTTAGATACAAGTCCCTGAAATCTTATTCATTTTGGAAATTCATTTTGGATACAAGTCACCCCAGATTGTCATATTTAGACACAAGGCCATCAAATTTATTATATTCTTTGCAATAAGTCTCCATGGTTAATTTTCGTCCACTTAACCTAACTAAACTAAAGGAGTTGTTAGGAATTAAATTTTAAATTGGAGGGATTTTAGATAGCAAGATAGAGTTGTTTCCAAATGGGTTCGAATGATACATCGAGTTTATTCTTTATCTTTGCAAGACGGTGGACTTAAGGAGAATTGTATTTAAATTTGATGATTTATAAGAATTTGTATTCAAATAGATAAGATTTAGGGGACTTGTAACCAAATATAGCGATTTGGTTTTTGGGGAACTTGTATCCATAGGTACCGTTTGGCAAAGGGTTAAGTGACGGGTTAAGGTGACTTAACCCGCCAAACACAAAAAATCTATACAATGGTTAAAGTGAGTTAACCCTCTATAATTTGCCAAACATAAAAAATATAGAAGGGTTAAGCTAATCCCTATAAGGGGATTAAAATGAGTTAACCCCTCAAATTGAGGGGTTTACTAATACTCATATTTAGAAGGATTAAATGTTAACTCTTCTAATTATAAAGAAAATAGTCAAAATCATTGTTATTCCCAAACACTAAAACTGATCACAAAGACTAAAATAAAACTTATTTAACGGGTTAATAATTTAGTCCTGATTATTGAATGGGCTAAGTACATTAATCCTTCCTTTTAACCCCTCCTCCTTAACCCTTTGTCAAACGGGGCATATATATTAATTATGGGGGGCCATTATCTCAAAAAGCCAACCATAAATAGGGGAAACATACCAGCAAATAAAAAATGTGGGCAAAAGATTCTCCCATAACCTCGCAGCAATTAATTTTACAGTTACTAATTTTGCCTTGAATTCGAGAATTACCACAAAAAATGATCAACATTACAAAAGAGTGTACGGAGCATTTAAAAAAAATTGGCAGATGAGAAGTAAAGAGGAACAAATCGGTGGTTGAGCGGGTACCCCCACGTGTTTGTTAGAAAGCGCCTGAAATCTTCACAAATGTTTGCACATCTTTAATGCTCCGAGCATGAAAATTCCCAAAAAGTAACAATAAAAAATAAAACAAAAATAATAAAATACTTCAACATCCGGTCTATTTATTGAAACTCGTTGGGGCGTTCACACCACGACATGTTGCATCGATGCAATCCCGGTACAACGATAAGTAAGCAATGTTGGTTTTCTAGGGCGTCTCCCGAAAGCGACGTGTTACATCAATCACTCCAGTGTAATGACAAGTAAGCAATAGTGTTCTAAGAATATACTATCCTTTAATAGGTTACCAAATAGTATTAGGCATGGACTAGAATAGTATGAGGGAAAGTAGTAGGAGGCTTTTGTAGAAGAGTAGAATTAGCTAGCTACTTGGAATATAAATATACTTACCAGAAAGACTATGAAATTAATAGATATCATGGTTAGAAGAAAAATAAATATAATTTATTTGCGAGAAACTAAATGAATAGGTAAAAATCTAGAGAAATTGAAAAGATAAAATATAAATGTTGATGTGCATGAAAAGAGATGAATATGAATAGAGTGGGAGTTCTTGTATATAATTAATAAAAGAAAGTGTTGTACAGGTAAAAAGAGTTAGAGATAGAATAATACTAACAAAAGTTGTCTTAGGTATAGAGGCTACTGATATTATCAGTGCTTACGCACCACAAGTAGGTTTGCCCGAGAGTATTAGAAGGGAATTTTAGGATAGACTAAATGAATTAGTACAATGAATCCCATTTTGGGAGAAGGCAGTTGATCAGCGAAGATTAAGAAAGGGCACAAGTATATCTAAAAATTAATTTAGTTTTATCCCCGAGAGATCGACTATAGAACCTATACATATTTTGACACGGTTGATGGAGAGATATAGAGAGAAGAGAAATGATCTATATATGTTTTTTGTCAATCTGGAAAAAGCTTATGATAGAGTGCCTAGAGAGGTACTATGGTGCATTTTAGAAAAAAAATATGTATCTAGTATATATATTGATGTGGTTAAAGATATGTATGATAGAGAAATAACTAGTAAGAACTAATAAATGAGAGTCTAAGCCATTTATTATTACTATATGTTTACACCAAGGGTCAGCCTTAGGTTCTTTTCTTTTTGCATTTGTTATGTACCAATTTACTAGGCACATTCAGGACGAATTTTTACGGTGTATGTTATTTGCAAATGATACAGAGTTAGTTGATGAAATTAGAAGATATATAAATTCTAAAGTAGAAAGATGGAGACAAGCTATAAAATATAAATGTTTTAGATTTAGTAGAACAAAAATAAAAATATATGAAGTGCATTTTTAGTAAAAAAATAGGTAAAGGAGAGAGCATATAATACATGATGATGGTCAAGAAATACTTAAAACTAATTATTTTTGCTATTTATGATTATTCATTAGGCATGATATTGAGATAGAGGATGATCTTGTGCATCAAATCACATCGGGATTGTTGAAATGAAGGAGTCCTTCAAGATTCTTATGCGATCATAAAATACTAATGAAACTAAAGGGAAAAAAATTTATACGACGGTTTTAAGTCCTACTGTACCTTATGGGTCAGAGTGTTTGGTAATTAAAAAATAACATATTAAAAAAATAATTATGGTGGAATGAGAATGTTGCGATGGTTTTGTGGGTGTACACTAAAAGATAGAATAAAAAAAATGAGTGCATATGTAGTAAATTAGAGCTTGCTCCTTTTGAGGATAAAATGAGAGTAAATAGATTAATATGATTTGGTCATGTAAAACAGAGACCACTTAGTACACCGATCAGAAAAAAAATGATAATATTATAGTTGACTAAGAGATTTAGAGGTAGATTTAAGATGACTTGATTAGAAGCAATTAAGAAGGATGTGACTATAACATAATAGAATGAAATGAAGAAATAGAATTTATATAACGGGCCCTAAATATTTGGGGTAACTGCTTGGTGGTTGGTGGTGGTTGTTGTTGTATGCTAATGACATTAATAAGAGTTCTGCTACATGGAACCCAAATAATGTGAACCAGTGTGGAAAGCATGAACTTGGACCATGTTAAAAGCGAGTGTCACCTGCCTCATCATCTATATGACTATTTATGAGAGGTACATTCGCTTCCATGTTATCGTCGTAACTCTCTCAGCTTCTATTTGCATATGAACGGAATCGCTGGACTAGTTGAATCAGCTTGTCATGACTTCGTGAGACTGCATTATGTATAAGAAGAGAGGACAACTCACATGCCATTCTCCCGGTCTATTGGTTCCCGCCCAAGAACATCTGTATTGGCGCCTTTAAACAGTGTTTGCAGGTGTATAATACTTCTGGAAGTCCATATTTGTGCTATGTATGACCCCTGGACACCCACCATATCCTCTCAAATATGGAATTAGTAAATAACGTCCATTTAGAGGTGTGTGGGTTTGCGTAACAGTTTCTGTGACTGTCACATGAATACGCGACTGAAGCACCGCACAATGAACACATACACTACTCCTCTGTTAGCTTATTCATTTAACCTTGAGGCGAGAATAAGGACTCATCGATGGGCCCACATCATTTTTTTCAAAGTCTATGTAGGCCCATGCCCACGTAACGGAGAGCAGCGCAGGTGTGTAGGTTAGGTGATGCCCTCTAGCATTTTCTAATCATTAAGACCTGAGCATTTCCTTCTCAGAAGCACTGAAAGTGTAGGCCTCCAACCCGTTAAGCCTCTTACCACGCCATTCGCATCGAAAGGAGCGACCTCCTTTTTGGTCAGTTACTGTTCACTCCCGAAACCGCCGCAACCCCCCACACCCTCTCTAACGTCAGTGCTGTTTATGAGCTTCTTCTCTCTCTTGTTCTTCTTGCATTCATTAAATCGATTACATTTTTTCGAGATGAGAGAGAGAGAAATGGCGAAGGGGAGACGAGCATGGAGGTGGACTGGGGGAGACGACGGCTGTCGCGTCTCACCGTCGTCAACCCTCCCGTCAACTCCCTCTCCACCGACGGTACTTAATTCAGTAGCATTTGGTTCAAATTTAGGTTTTTTTTTTTCGTTTCCTGACGCGATTTGAATTTGGTGTGTTTTACGTGTTAATCAAGCTGAGAACTCTCAAAGTTACATAATTGGTCAAATTGTTCTCACCGCGTCTTTTTCGGGGTAAATTGTTGAATACATAAAAGTATTTCACTGTTTTGACTGAATTACGAAACCCTAGGCGGCGGAATTTTCCGTTATAAATCACTTTTCTTTGCTCTCAGATAAATTTGTTGAACACAAACCAAGAAAAGGTAAAATTCGGCTAAAAAAGTGATTTTTCTCTCCACATTGACATTGAGGGAGGGGAGGGGGGAAGCGATTTACATTCGACTCTCACGTGACATACTCAACCAACATTCTGGATTTAGAGGTGAAAGTGCTAATAAAATGGTTTAGAGGATATAGTAGCTGTGTCATCGTAGTACAGGGGGTGTATCTATGATTAACCTTTAATTTGATTTGTCTCTTCTAACTGCTAGTATGATTGATCATATTCCTAAAGGCAATTTTAAGATGGTCTAAGGAAAATTTATTTTTCATGCATAGGCTCAGAGGATTTAAAAATTGTAATGAGGGGTTCAAGATATTGACAATTATGCATATCTTTAATGATTCCATTTGTGTCTAGTTATATTCAAAAGCATATACTATATAAGATATTTAAGTTCTTTAGGTTAAAATGTGTCCTCTACCAAGTTTTCTGGTTTTACATGCTTGTGCGCCTATGCTTTGAATCAGTGCACATAGAGGGTGATGAAGAAGACATTTGAGGTAGGTTGGGGAAAATAGCAAGTTTGGTTCCAACTTAAGCGATGAATGAAGTTAGTTTATTTTTCACATTGTAAATGGTATCGAATATGAATGCTTGGTATATGTTCTTTGGATCCATAATCTTATGGATCGATTTTTTTGGTTTTGTACAAACAGAGAATATAGAGCAGAGAGATTAGAAAGCGAATTAATTTGTATCTAGAGAGAAAAATGAAGCGAGCATTTCTGTCCTATAAGGAGAATGGTATCCAAGAAAGTTAAATAAAATATTCTCTCTTTTAAAACTCTCCTTCCTCCCTATATTCTCAAGTACAAAGGCCAAATCCCTCCTATTGCTTTAGATTGGTACAAAGGCCAAATCCCTCCTATTGCTTTAGATTACAATTTCTTATATATATATTCGATCACTAAAGCCCCTTACCTCTTTGTTCTAAACCACATAGCCACCTAATATATCTTGAATTCTTGACATGCCATGCTCACCTCATAGAAGATCTGTTTAGTTTTTTTTTTTTTTTTTTTTTTTTTTTTTTTTTTTTCTTACCGTAAAATGTTAATCTCTACATCCTGTGGCAGTGTTACTCAGTCTTAAAGATGCATATGAAGAAGCATTGAGAAGAAATGATGTGAAAGCCATTGTGGTTACAGGTAGCATGACTACTCAAGTTAATCATCACCGTTGTACACTGTCAAGTTATTTTAGTGGGATATGATTGGTCTTACTTTATGTGCAATTATCCAGGTGCAAGAGGAAAGTTTTCTGGTGGTTTTGACATCACAGCTTTTGGTGGCCTTCAAGGGGGAAAGTATAGTGCACCAGTTGATAGTATGCAATTTGTTACCCAAGATGTCGAAGATAATCCGGAATGGCCTGATGAGGCTTACGTTAATAATGACTACGTTGAGTATGAAGAACCACCCCCCGACGAGTTTGAAGATGATGAGTGGATTCGTTCTTCCACAGTAAAAGATATGTGCATCGGTGAAAGTTCAACTCGTAGAGGAGATGATGACGCCCCCTTTAAAGTTGGTGATTTATTCGAGACTAAAGACCAATTGGTTGATGCTATTCGTGAATACTCTTTCGAAAAGAATTTCAAGTTCAAGCAAGTTAAAAGCAATCGCACAAGTTATGATGCAATATGTTTTATGAACACACAAAGAACAGGTCTGACCGAGGGAAATGAAGCTGATTACTCATGTCCTTGGAAGTTATATGCATTTGCAGGAAAGAAACACAATTTTCAATTTAGGATCAGTGAATACTGCGGTGTTCACACATGTGTCAATCCAATATTAGAGCAAGATCACAGTGGTGCATCTGCCTCTTACATAGCGCGGTTGATTATGCCAAAATTAAGGAAGAAGCTTGATCTAACGCCCGATAATATAATTGAGAAAGTGCTTGATACCAAGTTCATTAAAATCTCGTATATTAAAGCATGGAATGCAAGAAGAATTGCGATGACAAAAATATTTGGTGATTGGGACAAGTCTTACGCGACACTAGCTCAATATCTTGATGCGATCAAAAGAAGTAATCCTGGATCTGAATACAAACTCATAACCAAAGAGATCGATCCGGGAGTTCATCAATTCACCTCTGTTTTTTGGGTATTTGGGCCTTCGATTGAGGGGTTTAAATTTTGTCGGCCTATTCTTAGCATTGATGGCACACACTTATACGGTAAATACAAGGGTGTACTGCTTGTTGCTACAGGAGTTGATGCAGATGGTGGCTTATTTCCTTTGGCCTTCGCCGTTGTGGAGATCGAGAACAATGAAAATTGGGAGTGGTTTTTTTCTTGCATTCAATTATATATTTTTAATGTGTTACCTCCTAGAAAAATTACTTTCATATCTGATAGGATGAAAGGTATTCCAAAAGCATTGTGGAGGAGATTTGGCTCTCATCACCATCATCGCTATTGCTTACGACACATTAGAGCTAACTTCAAAAAGAGCTTTAGTCAGATTCATTTCCAAAACCTTTTGTGGCAAGCGGGTTGTACGCCGGAAACATATGTGTATGATCGGATACGCGATCAAATCAAGGCAACATCTCAAGCTGCACATGATTGGATTGAGAGAAGTCTGGGCAGTGATTACGTCTCAGCTCTTTATACTCTCAGTCCATCTTTTAATTTAAAATTGCTCCTTTCTCCTTTGTGTCACGTTATCAGTGGACCAACCGAAGGTTGGGTTTATTTCAATAGATATCATCACCGACCTGTTAGAGGGTAAGTCTCGGATCTTTTTCATTTTTGACATTGTTCAACAATATTCAGTTATTGTAGCTGGATAGGCTTTTACAATTTCTGTCCAATTGGCTTCAGGTGCAAGAAAACCATCAGTGGCAGCTATTGATGGCGTAGCTCTTGGCGGTGGCTTAGAGGTTGCAATGGTATGTTATAAAATATCTGTTGACATCTGTTTCATGTTTGGTGTGTCAAGATTATCTGTAACATTTGTGAATAACCAGGCATGCCATGCTCGCATTTCCACATCAACTGCTCAACTTGGCTTGCCCGAACTTCAACTTGGGATTATTCCAGGATTCGGAGGTATTCTGTTAAGCATGGTAGATAGTAGATATAATATGCTTCTTGCATGGTTTGCAGACTGTCAAAATACCTGTCATGTTCAGAGCTGAAAAATCTTTGCCTTATTGAAGTACATATTTTGCATCCTGTTTGAAGTCCAAGTTCACATGCTACTGCTAGGGGTGGAAATGAACCAATTAATTAATAAACAGTTCGGTTATTATTCGTCTAGATATTCGGTCATATTTGATTCAGTAGTTCATTTTATAGTAAATGAATATCTTTTAGTATTCGGTGCAGAAACGAATAGGATTTGACCAGAGGTATGTTTGATTCGGTTGATTATTAAATATTCATTTATGTTGTTCTACTTCTAGATTATTATATTGTATTATCTTTTACGTGTGCATAATTTTATAAATATTCCTATTTATAAGTATTGTATTAATAATTTGTAAATGTACACCATAATAATTCTTATATTGTAATATCATAATAACAATTAAGTAATACGTTATAGAAAATAAATAAGAAAAGACTTCAAACATAAGGTATGAAGTCAACAACTCATGGTTGAGGATCTTGTGACTTAACAAGTATGCTATTGAGATATTCGTGGACATCTAACAAATATGCGTCTATTTAACGAACCAAACTTGAACTCCCTTTCACTTCAAATTCGTGAAAATTAACCGAATACAAATATGAATACCATGGTATTCGATTCGATTCGGTTTGTTTCCACCCCTAGCTGCTGCCACTAAATCCTTAACTATATTGCCAGAATTCGTATGAGTCATTTCATTGCTAAGAAATCGAGGATGGATATATGCCAGCACGGACAGGATTTGGTACATTTTTATACAACATACACAATATATGCTAAAAGAGTCTCTAAGAAAACAGAAATAACATGCAAGAAATATGTGTCTGATGCATGAACAACCTGTTGTCATAGATTCACTGCTTACTGAAGTAGTTGGAACTCACCCTACTAGTCAGTAAATTGGACATGGAACTATTGACATTATAAACTCATGTAAAAAAGTGCCACTCTAGCTCATTCTTTATCCTAACATATCCGTCTGTGCTTGTAATCAATTAAAAATGGAAGAAACTTTCTATGTTTTAGAATTCAGTGAGTTATCTTATCTATAAGTGACTTGCAATTGTTGTTTCAGGGACACAACGGCTTCCACGCCTTGTTGGCCTTCCTAAAGCTCTTGAAATGATCCTGGTAAAGTACTCCGTCTTTTTTCATTTATTTTGCCTGTAGAAGATTTAAAGTTGAGAGATTTATCTACAAGAACAGCAACAACTAATCTTTGCTGTGGTCACTAATTGATTCAGTCTGAATTTCTCATCCCCCATTTTGTCCATATCTGTCCGATTCAGATGTCCAAGCCGATTAAAGGAGAGGAAGCTCATGCACTGGGTCTTGTTGATGCTATAGTACCACCTGATGAACTTGTAAAGGCTGCTCGCAGTTGGGCTTTGGATATTGTTGAATTCAGAAGACCATGGATCAAGAGTCTTTACAAAACAGACAAGATAGAGCCCCTTGAGGAGGCCAGGGAAATTCTCAATTTTGCAAGAATTCAGGCTCGTAAACGAGCTGCCAATCTTCATCATCCATTGGTTTGTATTGATGTCATAGAAGAGGGTATAGTCTCTGGACCACGCGCGGGACTTTGGAAGGTAACTTCATACGTGCCTAGAGATCCTAACTACAGCCTTTTCAAGTATTTGAAGTCCCATAGTCAAAAATCATCTTCATCTTTTTACTGAAGGCGTGGCATCTGTTTTTGTTAGGAAGCAAATGCTTTTCAGGAACTACTTCATTCTGACACATGCAAAAGCTTAGTCCATGTCTTCTTTGCAATGCGTGCAACCTCAAAGGTAGAGAATTCAGAGTACTTCTTTTTTGTCTGTATTAATTTCTTGTGTGCTTGTAAATTAACCATGCAACTGGCAGATGTGTATTGCTTAGGGGTGCTAAGCCGTATCCGTATCCGAGGAAATATCCATAACCGTATCTGTTAGGATACGAATATGGTTACTGAAATCTATAATCAACAAGATATGATTACGGATATGGTTTTGTAGTGAAATATCTGGATTTGTATCCGAAATATCCGAAAACATATTAGTCATACTGTTACGATAGTTTTAATCCTTAGATTATAGATTTGAGGTTAATTTGATGATCAATATGTTTAATCTTAGCTTTTTAGATATAATGAACATATTAATGAACTCTTTTGTATCGTATGAACTATATATTTTTCAATATTATCTAGTTTTCTCGTATCCGTATTGTATCCGTATGCATATCCGCTTATATATCCACATGTATATCCGTATTCGTATCCGATTTTAGCGGATACAAATATGAATTTTCCTTATTGAGGTATATCCATATCCATATCCGAGATGGGTAAGCGGATATGGATATGGATATGGTAAGTATCATATCCGAGCCGTATCTGGATTGAATGCACCGCTAGTATTTCTCCATCGAGAATCTGATGTAACTACAGCTTAAGCATTAAGCTTGAAACAAATTTAATGCTCTAGAACAATCCTTATACACATCCTAGTAATAGTAGCATGAATGCTTGATGCTTCTATTTTGTTTTTAGTACAAGGTGTACAATTGATTTCTCAAAACTCAATAAGTAGGGTGGCCTATGAAACTGTACTTCAAACATACACATTGTTATTCCAGAAGCACAAAAAGTCAAGCTCAAGTTGAAAATACTTAGAAGAGAAAGAATTATCTAACACACAGATATGACTTGGTTTCGTCTTTTAGCTAATCTCCATTGACAGAAGAGCAAATATTCACTTATAGAATCAAGAGTACCACGGTAGAAGAACCCCTAAAAAAATAATTCAGTGCTCTTTTTGCACTCCGTATTGAAATTCTAACAACACGTCTTATATGTGTGAAATTTGTTCACTCACTCTCGATCACCTTTAATGTTTTTCACATCGTTTTACTTCATCTAGTGAATGGTGCGTTGCTTCATTCAAATGCATGATTTATTATGTTGAATGTAACTTGTTTTGTAACTGACTGAGATGTTACCAAATTACCTGGATATTAATGTTCCAGACTTCCAGTTGAGATCTAAAGTAAACTTCTGCATGTGATCGTGTAGCTATGTTCTATTGAATCACATGCAAACCTGAAGGCAATTAATGGTGAAATAATTGGATCGAGACTGTCCATAACCATGTAAGGCAAATGGACAACAGGTCATACATGTATTGTATAGGAAAACTTTCATCGAGACTGAGCTTAATGATTAGGAATGAAAGTACAATTTAGAAAGCTCTAGGAAATTATATATCATATGTACTCAAATTTTCTACTTTAAGTTTGTTTTAATAGGTTTAGTTAGCTAGCTAACCTGCTTACAGGCTTAGATATTCTAGATAATATATCCTTCTTAGTGTGATTCAGAGTGAATTTTTTTCCTTCTTTTCCTTTTACTTCTTATCATTCAGTACTCAGTGTTCAACAGTCAATGTTGGCAGCAGATAATGCTGTGCTTTTGGGAACCGGGAGCAATGGTTGATTGCTTGCAATGATGATCTGATATAGAATTTGAGTTACTATGCATGAAGGGACTATTTCCATAAGAGAGACTCTTCGTCATTCAAAATTGGTTATGCATCTTAATTATTCTCGATAAGGAGCAAGTGACACTGAAATGTTGATTGCCCTTTCTATATACTGAAAGTATATGTACATGTTTAGAACCAACAGTTGTTGCTGAGTGTTATCTTTGTTTTAATTAACTTGGTTTTTTGGAAATACTCAAATTAAGGCGATTTGCTTCTTGTCATCAGATTTTCTTCCTTTTTCTGCGAGTAGTTTATATTTATCACTTATACTTTATAGCATTAATGAGTATAGTGATTGTCCTGTACTATTGACATACTTTATTAGTTTGTAGCTGACCAATTTATTAGCACTAGTCCAATGTGCACTACCATGATTTCTATATAATGCCTTCCTTTGTCTTAAAAAATCTCTTGTGAACATTCTGGTCGTTTACCTACCTGCAACAGGTTCCCGGTATCACTGATCTGGGTCTGACTCCTCGCAAGGTAGCTAAAGTTGCAATTCTTGGAGGAGGTCTAATGGGATCTGGAATTGCAACAGCATTAATCTTGAGCAATTATCCTGTGGTACTTAAAGAAGTAAACGAGAAATTCTTAAATGCAGGGATTGATAGAGTTAAAGGTGGACATAACACTTATCTTTCTATCATATGCTGTTAGTATTGCGGTTTCTTTTCACGTTGTATTTAAATTTTCCATTTGCTTACTTTTTCTTTATTTACTGTCCAGCCAATTTGCAGAGCCGTGTTAAGAAAGGAAAAATGACTAACGAAAAATATGAGAAGACTCTTTCTCTACTTAGAGGTGTTCTTGATTATGAAAGCTTCAAAGATGTTGATATGGTCATTGAGGTAATACCAAAGTTCACAGTTCCTCCCTTTCCACATAATGGCAACTTTCTTATTATACAGAACTAATGTTTTGAGCTCTCTCCAATCTTCTATTCTGCAATTTTAAATGTGTTCAACTACATGTAATAACAGGCAGTTATTGAGAAGGTGTCTTTAAAGCAAGAAATATTTGCTGATCTGGAAAAATACTGCTCTCCACATTGCATACTTGCTACCAACACTTCAACCATAGACTTGAATCTAATTGGCGAAAAAACATTGTCCCAGGATCGCATTGTAGGTGCACATTTTTTCAGGTAAAAATTTGTTTTGATAATTAAGTAATGCGTGTTCCTTCAATGAAGTTTAATTCAAAAGATGACCTAGTAATGATGCGTCTCTTTGATCAGTCCTGCCCACATCATGCCACTTCTGGAAATAGTTCGTACCCAGAAGACATCCCCTCAGGTTGTTGTGGACTTGTTGGATGTTGGAAAAAAGATTCGGAAAACCCCCATTGTAGTTGGGAACTGCACTGGTTTTGCTGTGAACCGGATGTTTTTTCCTTACACTCAGTCAGCACTCTTATTCGTAGATCATGGTTTAGATGTCTATAAGATTGATCAAGCTTGTACAAAATTTGGTATGCCGATGGGACCTTTCAGGTATGTAGTCGTGGAAACAGACAAAAGTTATTGTTGTCTAGCCTTATTTTCCTCATAAGGGCTGTATGATTAAAGAAAAGCTTAAAACCTCCTTTTTTTTTGTATTTTCTGAAACACAGAAACAAGAAAGATGCTGATGTTGAAATATGAATCTATTTTCTTTTTCCAGAGTGGCAGATCTTGTTGGGTTTGGGGTTGCAGTTGCAACAGGCATGCAATATCTGGAGAGTTTTCCAGAAAGAGTTTACAAATCAATCCTAATGCCACTCATGCTTGAGGATAAAAGGGCAGGTACATCCAAGTAAAACTTGGCAGCTGGGATGATCCTCACTGCATCGTACTATTATTATCTGATCTTTTAACTTAAAAATTTTCAATATCTGTACTTTACTCCCTACAGGTGAAGCTACAAAGAAGGGCTTCTATTTATATGATGAGAAGAGGAGGGCGAGGCCAGACCCGGAATTAAAGAAGTATATTGAAAGATCAAGAGACATGGCTGGCATTACGCCCAATCCTGAGGTTGTCTGTTCTATTATATGATCAAATGCAGTCAATTTTTTTGTTTTAGCAATGAAAGGTTAGGCTGATGAGAAATGTTAACAAAGGCATCTTTCAGTCTCACCCTCAGTGCTACTCTCCAAGACAATAAAACTGTTTTTGCTGGATCATTTCCTGCAAAATTGTGGTTTTCACTACATACATACATCAACAATGGGTAGGAGATCATTTGATTCTCCATCTGTTATCCTCCTCCATTTTGTACGGCTAGGAAGGAGATAATGAAACACTTGCAGGACAAGGAAATAATCAGGGTCATCACTTTAAAATAAGAAAAGCTGACAATTTTCTTCTCTTGCTGCAGCTAATGAAGTTACAGGACAAGGATATAGTGGAGATGGTATTCTTCCCTGTTGTAAACGAGGCATGCCGGGTCCTTGATGAAGGCATTGCAGTGAAGGCATCTGACCTTGACATTGCTTCCGTCATGGGCATGGGTTTCCCTCCTTACAGGTACTTTTCATGGTTATATTTTATCAGATACCTTAAAAAGACTTCAGGAGAAGAATCACATAGAAGGCTTTCTATAGAGAACTATAGAGAGAGAGGCTGGCCTAGCACGAGCATTGATGCACACTTCACTACCGAATACGGAGTCAAACTACCGATCAGTGCACTGATAGCAACTGCACCGATAGACAGTTCGACTGACTTGATAGATGATATTAATGCGTGCATCAAGATTCGTGCTAGACTATGTGTCTTTATCCCCTCTCTCCCTATGGGATTTCCCCCAAGTATTCGGTTCTAAAAATTGTTCTAATGATATTTCTCCGGACGCAGGGGCGGTATCTTGTTCTGGGCTGATTCTCTCGGAGCAAACTACATCTTCAGGAGGTTGGAAGAGTGGACAAAGGCTTATGGAGAATGCTTCAAGCCATGTAGCTATCTAGCAGAAAGAGCTGCCAAAGGAATACCTCTGGTGAGGATCAAAATATAACTTACACAACTTCTAATTAAGAACCTTCTTCTTTCTTAATCATATCATAATTGATGCTGCAGAGTGCACCATCGAATCAGGCCAAAGCCCGACTGTAAGATCACTTTGCGTCATTAGAATAAGTCAGCTGCGAATATCGTTGAGAAATGGATGGATAACAATCGAAGAGTACACGAAATGGATGGATAACAATCGAAGAGTACACGGGAAAGTACCTCTTCGAGCTTTCTCTACGAAAGATACGGATATGCTCATATGCTTGCAACACCGCTCTCACTTTTCTTTCTTTTCTGTAATCTCTCGGTAGCATCGTGCTACAATAATACATGTTTATAGTGTTGTCATACGAACCTAAACGCAAATCCAACAGCCTTCATACCATAATCCTTGTGGATATAGTTGTGCATGTTGCGACTGCAATGATCATCGTCACTTGCGCGTAAACTGCTTACTATTGCAGAATTTAACTGGAAGAGGCGTGATTTCAAACTTGCTCTAAATTTAAGTTATTGCATACCGACTGAAGAATTGCAATGTACTGAGAGGTAAAAAGGATGGAAAGAACCCCAAGGAACGTAAGACGCCCGCATCCATTCTCAATGATTTCTTTCCGAGGATGAACAACTTGTGTGATGTATTTATGTACATGTACGCATGAAAGGAGGCAAGAAAACATAAATGGGCTATATTCTTTTTCCAATATGTTAATAATGAAAGTCAAATAATAAAAAATCTGGGATGAGAAGACGGGTAAATAAAAGCAATGAATACTTCTGGTTGGCTCCGTCTCGTCGAGAAGCTGATTATTTCGGATTTCAGTCAAAACTAGGTATTACTTACGAGATTTTAAAAATCTGTATCTGGTTGGCTCCGTCTCGTCGAGATAGGTGATTTACATATATAATATGTCAGAATTCGCCGTCTGGATTGACAAATATGATTGTTTTTTTGCAGAAGTCAATAATACGTGTAGCTCGTGATTCTCCGAATCCTTCATGAAATTGTCCGTTAAACATCCTACATCACAAACTAGGTTCAATTTGTTGTTTACCCTGTAGTTCTCCCTGGCATTGAATCAAAAATTTATAATTTAAAATCGAGAGTATGATAAAGAGGTAGGATGACTGGCAACACGATCCATTAGACATCTTAAAATTTCATCATATTTTGTAACAGGAAATATTTTGTTGAAAGAACTAAATGCCCATGCACTCACAAAGAGCGAAATTTACTCAATCCTTTAGTCAACATGAAGCATATCGTTTCAAACAAAGGAATTTGAAAGATGGAAAAAGATTGTATGAATGAACAAAAAATTCCATACCAACTTTGAGAAAAAGAGGCTTCATTGAATAGATGGATCAATGTTTTTTTTTTCTTTTTTTAAAACTTAATTAGGAGAATGACATTACTCAATCAACAGTAAAAGATAAACTTCACATGACTTTCTAGATGAGAATGCGTTTCAAAATTGTTATGTATCTTAACATTCCTTGCGCTTAGGTGGTTGTTCTATGTTCAGCACACTGTTGCACGCAATTAAGCATAACTTGCATGATCAATGGGTACCTTAAAAGAACTCAATTCCTTAATTTGTCTTGTATGTTGAGAAAATTAAGAAGCAAGAAAAACAAAGAGAAAAAAAAATGGCTAAAGGAAGAACGGAAATCGTGGTCGAAGGCGACGGAGTTGCCATCATCACCCTCATCAATCCTCCTGTTAACTCCCTCTATTCACATATATCAGTAGTTGTTCATAATTGTTTTGCTTTCTGTTCATCATTATTATATCACAATTATAGAATCTACATACATACTGCAATATGCGATATTACCTTTTTTTCCCCTTCATTTTGTCTTCTCTTCGTACACATACACACGTATAAGATAATGGCTGTCATATGACATATGAGGGGATTCTCTTGTATACGGTGTTGTGGCAGAGATGACGTGAAAGCGATTGTTATTACCGGTAATATAGCCTCAAATCAATTATTATTATTCCCTGTCGACTACAATTTTAGGAGTTGGTATCATCCTTAAATATTGAGTTATGTATCAGGCGCAGGAGGTAAATTTTCAGGAGGAATAGATCTTACCATTTTTGACAGCAATGGATCTCCAAACAGTAAAGAACAGGATTTGGTTTCATCTTTGGTTTGTTACCCTCTGATTTTTATCCTGAAATCTCAACTTTTCTTCCCCTACCGTCTGTAAAAATTGCCAAGGGTTGGTTTTGGATCAATTGAGATGGTCACTGACGCTCTAGAAGGTACCTATCAGGGAGCTACATGCTGACAATGTATATTAATCGAACACGATCCCTAACAGACTGACATTTTATTTATCTGATAACTGTTGAACATTTCGACGAATTGCTATTATGGTCAGGTGCACGAAAACCAACAGTTGCAGCTATCAGTGGACTAGCTCTCGGCGGAGGATTAGAGGTTGCAATGGTACAGTTTACAATTTATGTTCATCAAAATGTTCTCCTTTTTTTTCTTATTTATTTAGAGTATATTCTCAACATCTTGCCTACCTAGATGACATTTTTACAATCACAGGCATGCCACGGGCGAATTTCTACTGCTGGTGCACTGCTAGGCTTGCCTGAAATTCCTCTTGGGGTTATTCCAGGACTTGGAGGTACTTAATAAGTTAATATAATCATATTTGAGCAGTAACTTGGTAGCTTAGTTAAATGTTAGATTTCTATCAACTGCTTCATCTGATTGAATTAAATACAGAGAAGGTCGAGTTCATCTGATTGAATTAAGATTTCATGAAAAGAATACAAATCACAAAGACTAATATTCATTTGACTGAAGCATGAGAAGAACAAAGATTTGTATCCCTTAGATCCTAATCCAAACCATACCCAAATCTCATATGAAGGTGACTTCCTCATCTCATAGAACAAAGTCCTCTGATTTCACCATAGACTTTGACGAAATTTCAAATTCAAACCAACTTCATGATTCGAGCCAGATATCAACAAATCAAAGGATTCAAGAAACAGCAAAACACAACACTTTGAAATCTCCATTTAATGTGTGGTGACCTTATAGTGCGCAACCCTGTTGATTAATTGAAACTTCTTTTCCTCTCCATAATTTGTGTATAATCACTATCTCATTTTGTTTCAGGAACTCAACGACTTCCGCGCCTTGTTGGCCTTTCTAAAGCTCTTGAAATGATCCTGGTAAATCACCAACTCCTCATAATGATTAAGAAGTTGCAGTCTTTCACTTGTAAACTTGTGTTATTTTCTTGTGGGTAACTTTGTTCAGATGTCCAAGCTAATAAAATCAGAAGAAGCTCATGGATTGGGTCTCATTGATGCCATAGTTCCATCAAATGAACTAATAAACACAGCATGTTGTTGGGCTTTGGATATTGCCGAATCAAGGAAACCATGGATCAAAACTCTTGATAGAGTGGACAAGATAGAATCCATCGAAGAAGCTAGAGAACTACTAAATTTCTCAAGAGTTCAGGCTCGCAAACGAGCTCCTAATCTTGAACACCCTTTAATTTGTATCGATGTTATAGAAGAGGGCATAGTTTTTGGACCAAGGGCTGGTCTTTGGAAGGTAAATAATTTTCAAATTTCTTTTCTGTGATCTCTGTACTTTGTAAGTTTGATGAATGAATGATATATTTGGTTTCTTTTTTGCAGGAGGCAAATGCTTTTTATCAACTAATTTATTCTGATACATGTAAAAGCCTAATCCATGTATTCTTTTCTCAGCGTGCAACCTCAAAGGTATATAAAAATGTTATTATGACAAAATGTGTAAATACCTTGTGTACTTATGTTATATGTTTGATAAATGAACAAAAGGAATGCGCAAATACCTTTGACACCATCATAACATGCATTTTATATGGTTTTGGATTTTGTTAAATGGGTTAGTAATGAATTACCAACTATTTGTTTGATTAATTTTGGTGACAGATGAAATCAGGAAGACAAAATGTTTTTGAAAAATTTTCTTTCTACTCAAATCTAATAACTAACAAAAGTTGATGTAAAATTCTAAAGGTTATGCTATTGTGTAATATCTTTCATCAGTATCCATAGGATTTCATCATTATATGAACCTACCAATTGTCATAAGATAAGTCAACATTATTTCCTGAATGCTGTCTCATTATTGTTAGCGTAATTCATCAATTAGGTAGATATTATTCCTATGTTTTCCTTGAAAATCTAATTAGTTCATGGACATCATAAGATTTGTATGCATGGAAGTATCCATTAGTTTGAAATCATAGCTATTTTTTGAGCAATTTGCCAATTTAGATCCACATATGTAAACCCAATCCTTTTCCTGTAAATCTTTGGTGAATGTTTTTCTTTCGCTTACAGGTTCCAGGAATTACTGATCTCAGTCTTATGCCTCGCAATATCACTAAAGTTGCTATTATTGGAGGAGGTGTAATTGGTTCTGAAATTGCAACTACACTGATAGTGAGGAATTACGTTGTGATACTCAAAGAAGCAAATGAAAACTTATTAAGAGCAGGGATTGACAGAGTTAAAGGTACACATAACTCTTATATTAAGAAGACATACTTCCCTTTATTTTTTCTACTAAATTTCATTTGCTTGTATGTCACAATTTTTTTCTCTCCAGCCAACCTTCAAAGCTATAACAGAAAGGGAAAAATAACTGAAGAGAAATGCAAAAAGGCTTTCTCTCTTATAACTGGTGTTCTTGATTATGAAAGCTTCAAAGACATTGACATGGTTATTGAGGTAAGGCATAGTATTATATCTTCATTTTCTTGCCTCTTCTAATTCAACTTTCAAATTTTGCTTGAATGTGTGCAATGATAACAGGCCGTTACTGAGAACATGGCTTCAAAGCAACAAATATTTGAACAAATCAAAGGATTCAAGAAACAGCAAAACACAACACTTTGAAATCTCCATTTAATGTGTGGTGACCTTATAGTGCGCAACCCTGTTGATTAATTGAAACTTCTTTTCCTCTCCATAATTTGTGTATAATCACTATCTCATTTTGTTTCAGGAACTCAACGACTTCCGCGCCTTGTTGGCCTTTCTAAAGCTCTTGAAATGATCCTGGTAAATCACCAACTCCTCATAATGATTAAGAAGTTGCAGTCTTTCACTTGTAAACTTGTGTTATTTTCTTGTGGGTAACTTTGTTCAGATGTCCAAGCTAATAAAATCAGAAGAAGCTCATGGATTGGGTCTCATTGATGCCATAGTTCCATCAAATGAACTAATAAACACAGCATGTTGTTGGGCTTTGGATATTGCCGAATCAAGGAAACCATGGATCAAAACTCTTGATAGAGTGGACAAGATAGAATCCATCGAAGAAGCTAGAGAACTACTAAATTTCTCAAGAGTTCAGGCTCGCAAACGAGCTCCTAATCTTGAACACCCTTTAATTTGTATCGATGTTATAGAAGAGGGCATAGTTTTTGGACCAAGGGCTGGTCTTTGGAAGGTAAATAATTTTCAAATTTCTTTTCTGTGATCTCTGTACTTTGTAAGTTTGATGAATGAATGATATATTTGGTTTCTTTTTTGCAGGAGGCAAATGCTTTTTATCAACTAATTTATTCTGATACATGTAAAAGCCTAATCCATGTATTCTTTTCTCAGCGTGCAACCTCAAAGGTATATAAAAATGTTATTATGACAAAATGTGTAAATACCTTGTGTACTTATGTTATATGTTTGATAAATGAACAAAAGGAATGCGCAAATACCTTTGACACCATCATAACATGCATTTTATATGGTTTTGGATTTTGTTAAATGGGTTAGTAATGAATTACCAACTATTTGTTTGATTAATTTTGGTGACAGATGAAATCAGGAAGACAAAATGTTTTTGAAAAATTTTCTTTCTACTCAAATCTAATAACTAACAAAAGTTGATGTAAAATTCTAAAGGTTATGCTATTGTGTAATATCTTTCATCAGTATCCATAGGATTTCATCATTATATGAACCTACCAATTGTCATAAGATAAGTCAACATTATTTCCTGAATGCTGTCTCATTATTGTTAGCGTAATTCATCAATTAGGTAGATATTATTCCTATGTTTTCCTTGAAAATCTAATTAGTTCATGGACATCATAAGATTTGTATGCATGGAAGTATCCATTAGTTTGAAATCATAGCTATTTTTTGAGCAATTTGCCAATTTAGATCCACATATGTAAACCCAATCCTTTTCCTGTAAATCTTTGGTGAATGTTTTTCTTTCGCTTACAGGTTCCAGGAATTACTGATCTCAGTCTTATGCCTCGCAATATCACTAAAGTTGCTATTATTGGAGGAGGTGTAATTGGTTCTGAAATTGCAACTACACTGATAGTGAGGAATTACGTTGTGATACTCAAAGAAGCAAATGAAAACTTATTAAGAGCAGGGATTGACAGAGTTAAAGGTACACATAACTCTTATATTAAGAAGACATACTTCCCTTTATTTTTTCTACTAAATTTCATTTGCTTGTATGTCACAATTTTTTTCTCTCCAGCCAACCTTCAAAGCTATAACAGAAAGGGAAAAATAACTGAAGAGAAATGCAAAAAGGCTTTCTCTCTTATAACTGGTGTTCTTGATTATGAAAGCTTCAAAGACATTGACATGGTTATTGAGGTAAGGCATAGTATTATATCTTCATTTTCTTGCCTCTTCTAATTCAACTTTCAAATTTTGCTTGAATGTGTGCAATGATAACAGGCCGTTACTGAGAACATGGCTTCAAAGCAACAAATATTTGCTGAGCTAGAGAAGTACTGCCCTCCACATTGCATACTTGCTAGCAATACTTCAACGATATATTTCAATTTAATTGGAGAAAAAACAAGGTGCCAAGATCGTATTATCGGTGCAAATTTCTTCAGGTAATACACGTTGTTTTTTATGGGGTTTTTCGTAGATATACCCGTTAAATCACACACATTTGCAAAACTAGTCCCGAATCTCAGTATTTGCGAAACCACCCTCAAATTTGGAAAAAGATTACCCTCAATCAACAAATCATTAACTTTGATAGCTAATTTATAATTGCACTGTAAATATGTGAACCAAATAGTCAGATATTTACTCACCATATCCAACAAAGTTGATGGTTTGTTGATTTGATAGTACTTTTTCCAAAGGTGTTTGGGGTAGTTTTGCAAACATTGAGTTCTGGGAGGTAGGTTTGCAATGACGCATGGTTTATGGGGTATATTTACAAAAATCCCTTTTTCTATATAGCTTGGTCATATATATCAGTCCTATTCATTTCATGCCGCTGCTGGAAATAGCTCGTACTCAAGAGACATCTCCTCAGGTTGTCGTGGACTTGTTGGATATTGGGAAAAAGATTCGCAAAAAAACCCCGATCGTAGTTGGAAATTGCACTGGTTTTACTCTGAATTGGATGTTCTTTTCATGGATTCAGTCAGCACTCTTACTCGTTGATCGTGGTTTTGATGTCTATAGAATTGATGAAGTGTGTACTAACTTCAGTATGACAACGGGACCTTTCAGGTAATATTAGAAAGTATTCACAACCAAACTTTATGTTATTATTATTATTATGCTTTCCAATGACTTCGAGATGTGTATTTTATATCTCCTTTGTCCATAGATTGGCAGATTTGGTTGGTCTTGAGGCTGCAGTTTCCATCAGCATGCAGTATCATAAGAGTTTTCCTGAAAGATGCTACAAATCTTTGCTAATAGGCATTATGCTTTATGACCATAGAGAAGGTACATCAAAATTTTCGCAAATTCTATTTCACAATATCTCATAAGTTATTACAAAACATATCCTCACCCAAACATCAACAATAGTAATAAATCAGAATAAAAATGTGTGCGAATGCACAGATGATCATAGACCATAACTATCAAGTCAATACTTCTTACATACTGCACTTTGTGACAGGCGAAACTACACGAAAAGGTTTCTATGGATACGATGAGAAGAAAAAGGCATGGCCAGACCCTGAATTAAAGAAGCTCATTGAGAAATCGAGGAATCTCCTTGGCATTTCACCAAGCCCTGAGGTTATCATTGATTTTTATGATATTCTTCTCTCTATTGTTTAGGACTGGATGTACAAATTGATTTAATCCTTTGACAGACACATGGTATAGTCTCACCAGCGATTTCCATAGACACACTGATTCTCTTTGTGATAATTATTTTCTTCTAGTAAACTAGGTTGATTCCTCTCCTTTCTTGGCAGTGAATCAGTCTTTTTCCATTTCTAACTAAACTAGGATTCCGTTTAATTAACTAATAACAATTAATATAGATGATATGCATATCATGCGCAAATATCAGGCAAACATGACATACATGAAATGAGCTCGTCCAATTTTTTCCCACTATTTATCATCAAGTCTCTCCACTCATTATTCCAGAGGAATAAACACAAGAAGTGAAAAAACTTCAAGACTATTATTTCCATATTTTCTTTACATCTTGCAAGTTGTAACCAATAAAAATTTCAACTTCACAATCGATAAAGATAAAGAAAGCACCTAGGCAGTTACCATGCAGCTGTCAATAATTTTATCAACTAGATACCAATAGTTTGCATACGTCTGCAGATAATGAAGTTGGAAGACAAGGATATAGTAGAAATGGTGCTATTTCCTGCAGTAAATGAAGCCTGCAGAATACTTAGTGAGGGTGTTGCAGTGAAGGCATCAGATCTTGATATCTCTTCAATCATGGGCATGGGATTCCCCCCTTACAGGTATTCTTCAGATATCCATATTCCTCCAATATTTTTCTCTGATTTCTGATCTAAATATTTTTATCTGAACAAATCAATTTTTAGAGGTAACTTCAGAAATTACGATGCATATTTTACTATGGCAAAATGCCATGAAATTTCAAGAAAAAGTGTTAAAATTGAACATCTTGGTCAAATATGGGTACATAATGTGTGCACATGTTGTGCAGGTATATCCTATTTTCTAAAGTTTACGTATCAAACACTTTTGTAAGTCTTGACATGGTCTTCTTTTGACTTAAGGGGAGGCACCATGTTTTTGTTGTGCGCGGCGCGGAAGCGGTCGAATCACACAATCCAAACAAGAGAGATCACAATCAAATAAACAAGCATAATCACCGATTAACACAAGAGATTTACGTGGTTCGGCAAGTTGCCTACGTCCACGGGGCAAGAAGGGGATGAGGTTTTCACTAATAGAGAAAGAGTAGCAGATACCAGGTTGTAATTGTGATTTATTGATGTGCTAAATTACAAAAATACAACATCTATAAATAAGGGGTTATGGTCCCTAACCTAGGGTTACATTCTCTAATTCTCTTCACCCCCATCTAAGAGAGAAATTCGGTTTTAGAAAGAACCCTAAGGTTAGAAGATCAAAACCCATCTCAAGATTAAGCAATGGATTCAGGTATAAGCTTCCGCTTTTTTGATTATTGTTAATCTCTTTGAATTAATCATAGCTATATGGTTTTAGATCTCAAGTTTTATGATGTAGATCTAACAGGCCACAGATTATTTACCTTTTACGGAGTGTTTGAAAAATGCTACCTCACTTGTGAATTCAAAATCTAAATTGATGCTAGTTACCAAGCTAGGTCAAGTCCAGTGTATGGATTTGGAAATATCCTATCGCACTCAAATTGTTAATAGCAAAACTGCCAGAAGGTAATTATCTTTATCAAATATTTGTTAATGCATAGAAGTGCAAATGTTTCTGTCGTTCAATCTATTTGAATTATTTATTCTCATTACCTTTTCTCATGTGTGTTTAGCTGTGTGTTTCTATTTTCTGCATTCGCCGAGAAATAGCCTTGTTCTGAAGTTTGATTATAGAAAAAAATTGCCATATAATATATATAACGTGTCACCCCAAATATTCAATTCGTAGCACGTGCATGTATAGATAGGAAGAAACTTTTCCACTACATATAACGAAATCTAATCATATGATATATATAATCGTATGATATATATAAAATCTGTCAGGAGCATTCTATGCTTATATAAATATAAAAAGACTCTGCCACTTGGAACAATGTATCAACAATATTTAATTTTCAATTAATCTCATTTCATGACTGCAAAAAGATTTTGCACCATGATTTTAGCATCAAGATTCATTTTATTATCTCCTGAGAACTAATATGCACTTCATATTTTGTACTTTATGCCACTTGTCTATGTAGGTATAGTATTTAATAAGATTTAATTTCCTATCCATCACTTTAAATGTAAAATAGATTTTGTCACCATGTGCTTAATTGTTGTGCGCGGCGCGGAAGCGGTCGAATCACACAATCCAAACAAGAGAGATCACAACCAAATAAACAAGCACAATCACCAATTAACACAAGAGATTTACGTGGTTCGGCAAGTTGCCTACGTCCACGGGGCAAGGGGGGATGGGGTTTTCACTAATAGAGAAAGAGTACAAACTGAGATTACAAATCACTCGAAGGAACAAACTAATCTCACCAACAAGTTCTTAATCTCTCCAAACAAAACCCTAAACAAATAGCTCAGAAAATACCTCTTTTCTGTGCTCCAAATATCCCTAATTTTTCTTCTCCTCAATTCTCTCTTCTAATTGTTTCATATATATAGAAATCCTAAAATCATAAACATACTAGGAATTCTAAACCAAAACCAAATCAAATTAGGAATCCTAATAACCTATTACCAAAATAGATTAGGAATCCTAATAACCTCATGTTACCAAAATAGACTAGGAATCCTAATAACCTCATGTTACCAAAATAGATTATGAATTCTCTATCCAACAATTCTCCACCTTGGCGAAGTTTTCCCAAAACTGAGCCGACACCGACCAAACCAAATGCCTCACTTGTTGCGTCCAGTACGAAGTGAAATGATCCACAACAACGGACTCAATCCATAACAAGTCGAGACCCAAACGGGAGTGCGAACACTCACCTAAACGTTGGTATCTACTCACCAAATCGGCTGCATCAAAACTGACCACCTACGTATCCTCTTGCCCAAGGAATCAAGCCTTCACGTAGTTCACCCAAATGGCCTCCAAAGGCCTCAATCCACTAGAAGAGTTCGCAACCCTTCTCTAATATCACGATCAAGTCTGCGGCTGATAGCACCTCCAATGGCTCCAAACTGAACTAATCCAAACATCTCCACCTGAGATGAACCAATGGCCATATCCAGACTACATCCATTAGCTGTACTCGAATCAATCAACCTATCATCTGCATCCAAATCAACACGATTCCAAATCTGTGTCACATCAGCTGGAATCCCAAATGATGTAGTATGATTTGGAGTTTCCTCCCAATGTGGAGTAGCATCACTCTCCACCCGCTGCGATGTACCAAAGATCTGATCATCACTCTCCACCTGCCGAGAGTCAAACGTGACATACCTGCTCAGAACAAAGTCAGAAGCCAATACCTGATAATCAAACACGCATCTGAATCCCAAATGTGCTATCGGATCAAATCTCACATCCACGATGTGATCCAGTGCTGGGTAGCCAAACATCCGACGCAACCCAAAATCTGAAGCAGCTCCACCAGATCCCATATCTATACATGCACAGTCGGCAAAAGCAGCTCCACCAGATCCCATATCTATACATGCAGCAGTCGGCAACCTATACATGAGACGGCCCAAACATGTTGTAGCCTGCACACCCATGCTAATGCTCGACATCAAACGCCAATCCTCCTCCAGAAAGGAACAGCTACCTGAATCTGCCATCTCGCCTTGTCACCTTAAAGTTTCCACACCAATGAAGTGTCTCCTATTACCGTGAGCTCGACACAAATGCAAGAAAGAACCCCTACCATAATCAGAACGTCGGGTTACCTTTCTACCAACATACTTTCTCCATCTGTTGCGGGCTTCTAGGACTTCACACCAACGGGATTTGGTTGCAACCCACCAATGCCTAGAGCAATCCCCAACTGCGAAAACCACATACCTATTACCTCCCAATAATGCTCCCTTGAAAGGCTCCCGAATGCCTAAATGAACACCCCTCAGAAAACCCCTCGAATGATGGATAGAAGTGTCAAACTCCACTCGGTCTTCTCGCTCATACCAATGGGTTCACAGGACTTCAAACTACAGGTCAAAGCACTCCTCAAAAATCTATACACGACATTTTCAATCAAATAACCCAGCATCAAACAACGTCACAGTCTAGCCGAATTTGATGAAGTCGTCATCTCTCTATCAATCGTCGTGCTTCCGAGTAAATAATACAAATTGCTCCTTCTGACGCCCTTCATAACAATCATGGACCCCAATGTGATCTTCAAACGTGCATCCTCCAAGGTCACTTTATAGCCAGATGCCACCAAAGCTCCTAGTGAAATGATGTTCTTCGATAACTACGGAACGAATCTCACTCCTTCCAACTCCTGAATCACTCTGTCATACATCCGAATACGAACGGTACCAATACCACCAATAGAGCATGCATGTCCATTACCCATGAGCACAACATCCTCTCTTTCCAACTTCTGAAAGCTAGAGAACCAATCCCTCCTAGGGCATACGTGGTATGAAGCACCCGAATCCAACATCCACTCTGTAGAGTTGGCAACACAAACTGACGGCAGTGCAGACAATGAAAGTAGCTTTGTGACAACTAGTCTTGACAACTCTACAGAGTGGATGTTGTCAAGACTAGTGGCACTGCCGTGTCTGAAAGTAGCCATGTCTGAAAGTAGCTTTGTGAAGTTGTTAACATGCTCCATTATGGAAACTCTCCTTTTCATCTTGAACTGATAAAACCTCTTTTTCAAGTGAAGCTGATTCTCAATGCTCTTAGTAAGATACTTTTCATTGAGTGTTTCCCACATCTTTTTCGCCGAAGTCTCGTTCATCACATCATAAATAAGATCTGGCGTCAAGCATGACCGAATAACTCCACACGCCCTACTATTCATCTTCTTCCAAACCTTAGCTTCCATCTCGGCAGGTTTTTCTTGTAACTCAAGAGTCTCCTCCAAATTCTGAGCGTCCAACGCATCCATCACCTGGCACCTCCACAAACCAAAATTGATCTTACCATCAAACTTCGAAACATCGATCTTCATGTTATTGATGCTCAAACTATGTATCGTCTTCGTAAGAGACGATCCCGATGTGCTTACTTCACCCATGTTGTCGATCTAACTCTTCAAATAGGAATCCTTCAGCGAATCCTTCAAACAAGCCTCAAGTTGAACCCGAAGCTCTGATACCAATTGCTCTGATACCAATTGTTGTGCGCGGCGCGGAAGCGGTCGAATCACACAATCCAAACAAGAGAGATTACAACCAAATAAACAAGCACAATCACCAATTAACACAAGAGATTTACGTGGTTCGGCAAGTTGCCTACGTCCACGGGGCAAGAAGGGGATGAGGTTTTTACTAATAGAGAAAGAGTACAAACTGAGATTATAAATCACTCGAAGGAACAAACTAATCTCACCAACAAGCTCTTAATCTCTCCAAACAAAACCCTAAACAAATAGCTCAGAAAATACCTCTTTTCTGTGCTCCAAATATCCCTAATTTTTCTTCTCTTCAATTCTCTCTTCTAATTGTTCCATATATATAGAAATCCTAAAATCATAAACATACTAGGAATTCTAAACCAAAACCAAATCAAATTAGGAATCCTAATAACCTATTACCAAAATAGATTAGGAATCCTAATAACCTCATGTTACCAAAATAGACTAGGAATCCTAATAACCTCATGTTAGCAAAATAGATTAGGAATTCTCTATCCAACAGTTTTGGGCCGATGCTGTTGGAGCAAACTACATCGAACAAAGATTAGAGGGATGGTCGAGAGCTTATGGAGAATTCTTCAAGCCATGCTCGTATCTAATTGAAAGAGCTTCGAAAGGAATTCCTCTGGTGAGAATAATACTAAACATCTCGTTACAGTGTTCTTTTTTGTTATTACTACTGTTCTTTGATTATTATCCATATTGATGCAGAATGCGCCATTGAATACATCAAAAGCTCGACTTTGATAAGATCAAAATGTTTGAATTAAGATGGTAAGAGATGAACAGATATGATGATGATAATGCTTGTTTATCAATCTTTTTGTACTGCAGGGAACCTGAAAATGATGCGTATGTGCGCAAGAATGATGTAGTAAGAATTTCAGGGAACCGAGAGTAGCCAACTCTCCCGGTTAGTGTCACATGACAGTTGCTTAAACGAAATAAAATTTCTCAAATAATATTCTGTCGATGCATTCATCATATCTGGAAAGTTAAAGGGGTTAAATGTCTGGATCTTCATGACCATTCTCAGATCAACTAAGTAAAGACTGAATTAATTTAAGTCAACCTATATATAATATATATATATATATATATATATATAATATATATATATATATATATATATATATATATATATATATATATATAATATATATATATATATATATATATATATATATGTAGAATTGGCAGAAATAGCAGTTTTCAGGCTCAGGATTCATGCAGACAGCGTTGTGCGGTCGACCGTGGCGGTCGACCGCGTTCGTGCACAGAGCTGGATTAGCGTCTGCCACCTGCTGCCGGTCTTGACGCGCAGAAGTTTCGTGTTTTTGTGGCGGTCGACTGCCACGTCGACCGCTGTTTCTCTGGATTTGATGCTGTTCAAGGATGAGGCATAAACGCGTCGACGTGGGTCGACCCGATGGACGCGCGTCGACCGCCGAAGCGGTTTTGGGCTGATTCATGTTTCAGACCCGTTTCGTTTGGGAGTTGTATAAATACTAACTCGTTTTTAGGGTTTAAGAGAGAAGATTTTGAGCAGCTAAAAGAGGAGATTTGAGGCTTCTATTGTTGGAGCCATTTGGAGAGATTAAGAGGGCTTATTTGTGGGTTTTGATAAGATTTGTAACCATAATTTGTATCCCCTTGATTTCTAATAGTAAAACTCCCCCCTCCTTGCCCTGTGGATGTAGGCACATTGCCGAACCACGTAAATCTTGTGTTCTTTTTGTGATTGGATTGCTTGTGTTCTATTGTGATCTATTATTGGTTCTTGTGTGTGATGATATTGTGAGATGGTGAGCTCAAATCTTATCGTGAGCTAGACTAATCATATCATTAAATTCATGATCGTCACCATACATCTTGTTCAACACGTCATCAAATATATATGGTAAAATTTTCACAAAATTTCTAGCTCACGATAAGAATTTGAGCTCACCATATCATTTTATCTCTCTCACACACACATAGGTGATAAAAGCTCCTAGCACTTATCCACCAACTTTCTTATCCTTAATTATGCTTTGAAATTTATGCTACAAATCAATGCTATCTTTGAGATTTATGCCTTGATTTGTATCATATTTCACTACAGATCTCAATACAAAATCAATAGATAAAAAAAAGGGTGAACAAAGAGGTCATATATATATGTTGGATACCTATTTAAATATTCTATGTGCATTGGCATCCCACCAAAGCTTAATGAGAGAACATTATTTAATACCTAATATGGATATCTAGTTTTACAAGCTAAATTATTGTATTGGTACTTTTTGTAACACTCATTGGTATTTTTTGTTACTCTGGTGACTTTATGGTATTAATAGTAAAATTCTCGCACCAAAAATCGAGGAACTTGGTATTAAAAGTCCCTCTCACTCTCGCTGCAAGTTAGAAAATGAAGGAATTTGGTAAATTACTCAAGCAACAGAAAATACCAAAGCAGTAAACGAGTGTTAAAAAAATATCAAGGTGGTAATTTAGCCAATATTTACATTCGTGTCTTGGCTTATTCCCACTTTGGTACCTCAAAGTTTACACCTTTCTGCACTTTGATACCCAAATTTTTTTTTCCAACACTTTGATACTCCAAATTTAAATCCAATTTCACGATGATACCACAGATTATTTCTTTAAAAATTTTGACATTCCAAAGTTGAATACCATTTGACTTTGACACACCCATCTAGATTCCGTTAGATTTTTTATTAAATTTGTACGACCTCCTTAAACAAGTAGTACATGTAGATAGATTTTGCCTTGCTGCTGAACAAAAATACAAAGCTCACAAGAAATCTTACCGAATTTAGATGGGTATAAAACGAAATGAGATTAAAACTCTGGGGTACCAAAGCGTAAAAAACAAAAAAAACTCTAGGATATAAAATCAAAATGAAGAGATGAGTAAACTTTAGGTATCAAAATGAAAATGAGGCTAAGTGTCACTCTCAAAAGCCCCGACTTACAAGACTGAGCTTTTACCAGCAACAGACCAGTAAAAAAAAGAAAAAAAAAAAGAAAAAAAAGAAAAAAAAGAAAAGCGCCATTAAAATTCGCTCAAATCGAAGTCAAATTGAACGCATAATGGATTGCCTCCTCATTATTTCGCTGGCGCTGCTCGTCCTCTTCGATCCTCTCTCTGCAATCGCGGCCGGTACTCTTTCGCGCGCTCTATCTCCCCCCTAGGGTTTTACAGTGAATCTGTCATTTTTTATCCTCTTTGTCTGCGATCTAGGGTTTGAATTATGTCTCAGGATTTCGATCTTAAGTTCTGCAGTGTTTTGACTTGTGAATGAGGGTTAGATGAAATCAGCGACGGCAATTGGAAAGGTTGAGATGAACTGAGATGTAGTTGATTATTTTTTAGATCCTTATTACTAATTGCAGAGAAAGATGTGTGTGTTTTTTTGCTATTTCTTGTAGTAAATGTTCAAGATGATGAGTATCTGATCCCTAATTCTGGAGGGTCTAGTCGGTTGTATGCGGATACTGGATAATGTGGCGCATGATGCGAGAGTCTCAAAGTGGAAGTTGTTGATGGTTTTGTACAGTTGCTTGGGACGCATTAGCAGTAGCATCTCGCATTGGTTAACCTGGGCTATGGAAGGTTCAAATCTGGAGCGGATAGGACAACCTAAATTCACTTGGTCGGAAGAACGATGAGTAAGGTTAGAATTTGACAAGGGTTTGTTGTACAAAAGGCTAAGAAATACATTGCAGAAGAGCTAGTTATAACAATAATCTGTTATGAGTCATGGTCATGAGAGTTTGAATTCACGTAGGAACCTTGGTTTATCTAATGAGGATTGGGAAAGTCAGGGAGCTTGACTCGTTTGAAATTTGGGTTGGCCACTAAGAGAAGCTCCTTCGGAAGAGAGCATTTTTATCAACACCTTCTATTTATATAATCATCAGTTCCACCTCTACAGTCACTTTCCACCTCTTTTAAAAACTTGAGCCATGTTTAGTCCAAGAGGATAAATCTGGATTTCATTGAGCCATGTTTGGATTTCATTGAGGTTAGGGGAAGTTAAGGCAAAATAGGGGAGAGTAGAAGGGAAGGGAAGGTAATTCCCTTCCCCTAGGGTCCACCCTAATTTGGAGGGAACAAATTTCTATTGATTGTGGGGGGATCTAGGGGAAT